GAGTTGAAATGAAAATACAAGAAGGGAGCCCCCCAAAGGGGTTATAGAATTTCTAAAGTTTAGTCCTAAAATATGCAGTGCAACTGTGGGTGGTTAAGAAACCCCAGGGACTTATAAACCAAACTGAGCCCTGTAAGAAACAGTGATTCATTTTGTGCAAAGATTTCTAGCCAACCTCAACAAACAACAAAGGAGACTAGCAAAGACTTCAGTGTATGGTTCTAGATATATGACTTCAAAACAGTGTAGGAAATAACAGCAAGGGTCTGCAGTTTTTCAATTCATAGGCCTTCATAAATGCTGCTGCTGTTTGAAGGCCAAAGGTTAGCCTGGAATTCAAGTGTGTGTTGTAGTGAAAACTCCATGGCAAATTGGTACTTTTCATCCCTCTCACGTAGGCCCTTGACACTGTGTCAAGTAAGGCAGTGCTACAAAGTGGAGAGAAGTTGGACTGAAACTCCTAAATTGTAGTTTTATCATAAAAGGTCTTAATTGCAGAACAACTGTGGGCTGATCTCACTAAATAAGAAAGCAAAGTATTGGGGACAGTAAACCTTCAAAGATGATGCTGTTAAAACATCTTTCTCTGGGCCAGGGAGATGGCTCCATGGAATAAGTGCTTCCCTGGCAAGTGCAAGGGCCTGAGTTCAATCCCTGGTTCCACCAAAACAATAACAACAACAACAACAACAACAACAACAACAACAATATCTTTCTAAAGCATGGCTCCCTCCTGAGGAGAAACACTTTAAGCAGGCTTCATACTCCTCAGGTGTGGCCTCCCTGTACCCTGTGAGTGGCCAGAAACACCTCCCCTTCTCAACAGGGCCACTCCTTCCCTATACATGGTGCACATGGTGGTGGTCACTGTTGCTATGAGCAAAATAGGTCATAGGAAAACCGGGCAGGAGCTAAAGTCTTGTTCTATCAGAATCTTCACATATGTTGGGTACTACTGATAATTTCTGGAATTGTTCTTGATTTGGGGAAAGATATCTCAGTAAATAGTCATGATGTATATAGTATTTTTTGTGATAACTTTTAGAGTGCATATTTTGATATAGCTGTAGGAATTAAAATACCAAACCAATAATGTGGTGAATGAGCTTCTGCCCCTGTTTCCCCAACAACAGATTATATGAAAATGTCATCACTCATTCTTTAACACTAAATAACAACAAAAACTCAACTACCCGGCTGGATCACTGACAGAAATTTACAATTTAGTAAATGTGAATGTATCAAGCTCTAGACAGTCAGAGGCACAGTTTTGTTGTCAATGTCTTTGTAAGAAGAATAATATTTTTATGAGATCATAGAAAGGGAGCAAAGGTAGCATGCTATGGCTTGTGTCTAGGTGTCCCCCTAAAGCCTCACCCAGTCATGGGGGCTTCTGGAGTTTGTGACTGATTATTGTGGGTGTGGATGCCTCATCTGCTCTGGGGTAGACAATCTGCATAAAAATGTAAGGAAGGGGAAGAGGCTAGCTAGCAGCCACAGCTGCTGCCCCTCCCTTTGCTTTTTACTGTTTTCTGCCATGCTATGAATGGCTGCCCTCTGGCATGTGCTGCTCTGCCTTGGAGCCAGCCAAGTATGGATTGAAATCTCCACTAAATGTGAGCTAAATAAAGGTTTCCTTCCTTAATTTCAGGTGTCGGGTATTTTGTCCCAGCAATGACAAAAAAGTAACTGAGGCATAGCAGAATGAACATTAGTAACTATATTTGTCTAGAAAACTAAAATTTTACTATTTCTTCTAGTAATGGTCTATAAACAAAACATTGATATTCTGCTTTGGGTGGCAAATATGGCTGTCAGTGGATGAGTTCAGAACCCAGAGGATGTGTCCCATCATATTCCTAACCCTCACTTGTGTATTACTCAAATTATGTGCAAGAAATAAGAAAGGAATATTTATGTGTTAAAAACACTCACATAAAAAATTCCACAGGGTGCTCAAAGTTTCAGTTCTTCCTAAAGAATTACTAGCATCCATATCTGCTTTCTCAGCAGACATTTTAAGACATGTCTTGTATCGGGTACTTTTTTGGTACTGGGACTAGAGAATGCAGTAACATACAGACCCACGGACCCACCTTGAAGAAGCTTCCCATCCAATTGAAGAAATAAAAGAATACACAGCATGAGGGGTTGGGTAGGGATGAGTAATTAGAACAAACTACCTCTAATTATATGATGTGTTCACTTTGCTGCATTTTGGTGAATGCCTGAGTCTCAGGCTACGTGTACTGGCCTCTAGAATCTTGGGGTGCCTTGGGATGCCTCTCATCTGTATGCAGCACTTTTGCCACACATCATTTTCAGAGCTAAATTTATATTTCCTTCAAGCAAAATTATGTGAATGCAGTTTGATATTATGACTGGAGGGATCATTGTTTGTGGTTCCTATTATCATGAATCATTTTTCATAGTTTTGGGTAAGGGAATAGGGGAAAATAGTTCTTAGATTTCATACAGCTTTTTAAGAGTCAAAGCCTATTCGAATCAAGTTGATGTGAAACAGGCACTGCGCCAAGCCACTACCCAGCTCCACCTGTCTCCTTAATCCTGATCCCCCTTTCCTGGCCCCATGAAGGATGTCAGTCATGCTAAATCACCTGCAATTGAGCTTGTGACACCAACAGCAACAAATAGGGTGCTGTAGGATGAGTTCAAACTAATTCTCCTTCTGTGCTAAGCCGAAGTTGCCTGTTTAATTGTTAAGAAAATTATTTGTTTACTTTGTCTTACTCTAAGAAAGTGAACAACCTTAGTACAAAGTACATACAGCTATCCTGTAAGACATGCTCATACTAATACTAATACTAGTACTAATACACCTTGTCTGGGTAGGCAATTTAAAAGGTACCTTTCCACATTAAGTGTCCCTTTTGATCCCCTCTCCCCTAAAGGGATTGGTGAACTCTGCTCTGGTAGACTTCAGCCCAATCTAGGGTTGCACAGTGCACATACCAAACAATAGGAGGGCAGTCCTCTGTAGGTCCTTCAGACTAACAATTTTATTTTAGCTTACAGCATACACTAACTGCTCTATTCATGCTGGATGTTAAAAGGATCACTTTACTGTAAGATTACCATTTCTTTTCTTGTGTGTACTTTTCTTTATAAAATGTCAAAAGTAGGCTTAATACTATATTTTTAAAACTCTCAAAAGTAAAGTTAAAGTAAACTTACAAATCCTGACATAAATTTGATGTCCAGTTCTGCTGTCCTGGTAATTTTTAGTTCGAGCTTTTAAAGACTAAGTGGCCACACTTCATCTCATCTTCCATTTTGCTGAGCCCCCTACCCCACACCAAATAAAATTCTTCTATAAAGCAAATGACTTCAAGTCCTTACCACCAGATGCTAAAGCCCCCTCCATTGCGGTCTATGGTCCACAATTGCTTTGAAATGAGACGACACAAGTTTCCTGTGAAAACGCTGGCAAGGACTGCTTCTGACTTGGTGTCACCAGGTGGGGGCTTTACAGGTATGGCTGTGCCTGACAGATGAGTGCACAGATCTCAAGTGTCTACTGCATTCTGGGAACATTTTCTTGTGATGTGTCTAACATGGTCCTTATATCCACTCTATGCTTATGTTAATTTGATGTTTCACAATACCCCTGCTACCTCGGTGCCACCCAGCTGTAAAAAAGACAAGGTTCGGAAGCCAGTTCCCGAGGGACAATTATAGAATGTTTCATGAGAGAATGCAATTTTGTTATCCTTAACCTCAGGATTGATCCTGAGAAATCAGAGCAAAGGGCAGGCTGGAGGGCCACCAGGATGGAGCTGGCACGGCACCGGCGCCAGCACCGAATAAGCTTTTGTGGAGCGAAAGCCTTCGCTAGAGCAGCAGCACGGCGCTTTTGGGCCTTTAGCCGTTAGCAGCGCCCGGAGGAGGGCCTGGTCCCAGGCGCACCGCACGCCGCGGCCTCGCTCTTCGGTGGAGTAAAGTTGCGAAGCGGAGGAGCAGCTCAGGTGTGAGCTCTGGGTTAGGGGTGTGGGGGTGTGGGGGTATGGGGGGGTGGGGGATGCTGCTCCGAGGCCTGTGCCCGCCCACTTTGCGAAACCACAGGATTTGAACGCTGAAACAAGTCCCCGTGCAGATTTGGACACATTTGAGACCGTTTTTGTTTGTTTGTTTGTTTGTTTGTCTTGTTTTTTTGTTTTCCCCTTCCGGGGGTAAACAAGTAAATTACAGTGCGTCCTCCCTTCCGGTACTGGAGAATGAACCCAGGGCGTTAGCACTGAACTACATCGCCAACCCTTTCTTTCTCCTTCTTCTCCTTCTCCTTCCCCTTCTCCTTCCCCTTCCCCTTTCCTATTTCCTTCCCTTTCCGTTTCCCCTTCGCCTTCTTCTTCTCTTCCTCCTTCTCCTCCTACTCCTTTCTTTTGAAACAGGTCTTGTTGATTTGCTCAGGTTGGGCTCGAACTTGGTGATCCTTTGCCTTGGTCTCCCCAGTGTTTGCAGATTACAGAAGAGCACGCGCCGGGCCGCGCTGAAGAAGCCCACCCCTCCTTACCCACAGCGGGGCGTTCTGAGTTTCGCGCAGCCAGGAGACCGCCATGTCCAGGGTTCTCTCCCAGTTTTCCTGACGGTCCTCACCTCCGCTCTACACACCTGGGGTCTTATTTTGGGGAGGACTGGGGGAAGTAGGGTAGAATAGGTGCGGCGCCGGGTGTCCTGGACAAGATGTTGTTCTCGGGACTAAAGATGCGCCGCTGGATCCCGACAGTCCTGCTGGGAGCGGGGCGTGGATCTGCGCGCACTGGGTTCTAGCGCTGGGCTGGTCTGCTCGTGGGGAAAGTGGCGGGGGCGGGGCGGCTGCAAGTGGACCCCAGGAGCCGCAATTCTGCCCCGCGCGGATCTCTGCGCGGTCCCCGCCCTCGCGCGGCCCCTCCCCCAGCCCTCTCCGTCCCTGGGACCAGCAGTGGAGCTGCGACCCGGAGTGCCGGCGCCGGGTTCCGGGAGCCGGGTTCGGGGCGCCGGGCATGGCGCGGGCTGCTCGCTGTGGACGGTGCAGGCGGGGCGTGCTCCTCGCCTTCGCCGCGTGGACCGCGGGCTGGGTACTTGTGGCGGCGCTGCTGCTCCGCGCGCACCCGGGAGTCCTCTCGGAGCGATGCACAGACGAGCGGAGCCGGAGCATCCTGGCCGCCCTGGTAGGTGCCCCGCCGCCCTGCCCTGCGCCCCGCGTCCGGGGTAGCGGCCTCGGACACTGTCTACCCGGCCACCCGAGCCCACGAGGCTATGGCATCTCTGCGTCCTCTCCACCCCACCCCACCTTGGAAGCTGGGACGGCGGTAGCACCGGCCAAAAGGGGAGGTCCTGACCCGGTAGGGGAAAGCGGGACTTGACTAGGGGTCCCAGCTCAGGAGTCCTTGGTGGGCGCGCGGGGGTGTCCCTCTCCTTTGCACCAAGATTGGCGCTTTGTCAGAAGACAGTTCCTCTGATTCTTCATGCCACGAGCCTCCGCTCCTGAGAAAGTTTTCAGGCTGTTCTCCGGCCTGGGGAGCCGGCGGGGCGGAGCTGGGGCCGGCAGGAACCTGCCTCTGCCCCTCAGCCTTTACTCCAGCGCCCCCTCCTACCCAGGTGTGAAAGGGCCTATTTCTCAGCACCTCCAAGCATAGCTCCTGGCTGTCAGTGTCTGCGGGGACCAATGCAGAAGGTGCGCAGCAGCCTGCCCTGGTCGCCCCTGCAGCTTCGAAAGGGCAAGGGTCTGAGTGCGCATAACAGACCTAGCTAGGCTGGGTAATAGTGGGGAGAAGGAAACGGCTGAGTTTTGCAGATTGGTGAGTGCCTTGGGCTTCTTGCCCCAAGCAAACGCTCTTTTTGCCTTGATTAGAACGCTGGCAGCTCCTTAGTCTTTCCTTTTGGTGTGGGAGATCGTGCGCTGCAGGCTTAATCATTTAGGCATCCCTAGAAGGAAATTCGAGAAGAGAGAAGACTGAAGCAACTACTGGTACTCGTTTTTCTTAAGTGATTGTTCACTTCCTAAAATATTGATCAATTAAGCATTTGGTGTAAAGGTGACCTACGTTAGAAATCTGAGAAACACACGGGAAGTTTTCAGTCCAGTTGCCTATACCTGGATGGGATTTCTGAGATTGCAGATTTTAAAAAATCCTGCTATAAAGATTAAAAAGTAAGCAAATTTAAAAAATGGAATGGGAAAGATTAAAGAATGAAATCAAGTCGTGTTCCTAACTGAATTGCTGGAGACTCCTGTCTTGATGCACTCACCCTAACAGATGAGACTCTTCATCTCCTTCTGCTCTGGCACAGAAGTTGGTTACAATTTACAGTTGTAAATTGCTTGCTCACTTATCTAAAAGTCCCTTTAATTTTGAAAGATATTTTTGGGAGAGCTGACTGGATAAACAAAAATATATAGCTTGACTAGAAAGCAGGACCTAATTAGAAATAAATGTAATCATCTTTTAGATTAAACTGCAAATGAACATGATTTTTCATTTATGTACTTATGGTCAAAGGGGAAAAGACTTAGTGGAAATTAAATAGTCTGATACAGTTTAACTAATCATACTTTCCTAGCATTCCTAGTTATCAGTTAAAACCAATTCTGTTTAGAAGCTTTACCAATATATCTGCAATATCAGCCATATGGAATCATTTTTAGTTTGACATACAGCTAAAGAGGTTGGCTCTGCCTCTGAAGGCCTCAATCTTATCTGTGGCCAGAAGAATAATTCACATCACCAGCTCTGCCCGAACTTTATTGTCATGTCAGGTGAGTTGAGCTATCAGGAATGTCCTGTGGATGATCAGATGAGCCTACCCCAGTGTTATTTTTCACACACTCTCAGGAGTTCCCTCTCCCCACCTATGCCTTGGAACTTGCTGATGTGAGACTCCACATTTCTCTGACTCAATTTTTGCCCAGGACACTCTAAACAAGGGCAGTCTTTAATACTAAGCCCGTCTTCACCGACCAGACAGTACTGAGCTGGGCTGCCAAGGGGAGAGATTGGCATTGTGGCTCCCGTGGATGGGAGCTGAATTGAGCCTCTGTGTGTCCTGGCTCCCCCGGCACTTTTCATTCTGCTTGGCTTTCATCCTACATAATAAAACTGGTTGTTATTTTTCTGACTGGCCTCCAGACTCTCATTAGCTTTCTCTCTGAGTAGGGAGCACAGAAGAAATGTTGCCAGCCAAGCAAAGGGAGGCTCTTTCTGGCAGAGCTGGGTTCTGGCGAATCCCCTGCAGGTGTTCCCAGACCCTGGTGCTCCTGGGGTCCAGTGTGGCAGGTGTTATCTCTGGCCTGCAGGGAGAACCTACTAGAGATAGAAGATGAGGCTGAGGAACCCATTAGAGAATGGGGAGAAGAGGCTTACAGGTTCTCCTGAGCCCTTACCCTGACTTCTGACAGGCAGCCACACTCTGGAAAGTGAAATCTTGAAAAGAGCCAATTTGAATAGTTCCAAAGGGTTTGAGTTTGGGATTTTTCCAGTCAGACTACAGACTACACAGCTCCTCATTCTGCAGTTTTCAGCATATGCTGAGCTAAAGAAACCTGTACCCATCCTCCAGGAGTGGTGAGTTATTTAGGGTCCCACTTCTCCAAGGAGCCACATGGGGAGGCTCAGCCAGGCTGAAAGAGGGTTGGCGTTGCTCAATCATTTATGAACTTGGCTTCTTCTTCTGCAAGCAGAGGCTTCCACAAGAGCCTGGAAGGCACCTGGTGCCTGGCAGGCACAATACTGAGTCATTTTACATGTATTATTCCATTTAATCACCTCAATAGCCTACCCTATTTGCTTTTTGTACCCCTGCTTTTGCAGATGGAAAAAACTTTGCACTGCTTTACACAGTTGTTAAGGAGCAAGGATGCCTCCCCATGTAGTCTGACAGTAGCAAACCTGAGACAGTAAGTGGCTTCTCATAATCACCCTTTCCAGTGCATCTTATTTCCAAAGCACCTCAGAAATATTCCCAGAGACTATGTAATTCAAAAAGCTTAACCTGCCTATGGCTAGTTAAGTCTTGATGGAATTTAATTTTGTTGTCTACTTTAGAAATTCTTTTTTCAAAGTTCAGTCTTATCTTTCTTTGTGATGATAGGAACTGTCAGGGGTCCAAGAGGACACAGAAGGTAGGCACCATATCCAGAGAGATTTCATAGCAGGAAATAGCTCTAGCCTCATTCTTGATGTAGAAAAGGAGTGCACAGTGGGCCAGCTAATTGCTGAGGTTCTGCAACCCATGGTAGCTGCTGGGGATGGAAAACCCTCATGAAATATGAATGTTGCTGAATGCAGGTGAACTTAATGCTTCTTAAAAGACAAACAAACACAATAGGAAGGCCAGCCCTTTGCCATGAGCCCTGTGGCCCCGTCTACACTTTCCTAGACTGGAGTGGACAGTTTTTGTTTTTGCCTGAGAACTGTGATACCAACTGGAAAGACACTAAGCAACAAAAACAAAGAAGGCTTCCAACAAGAGCTGGGACTGATTTGATGGAAGTATGCATTTGTGTGTGAATACATACTCCATGAAAAACAAAGTCAATGAATTTGATTAATTTCAAGATGTGAGGGCTTGCCAAATAGTGCAGCGGATTAAAGCGCCTGCAAGCAGGCCTAGGGCCCCAGGGTTCCATCCCCGGCCTGCCATGCTGGTCCCCGCCGGCCTCCCCCTCCCCCCCCTGCACTGAGACAGCAATTGAGACTGGGCGTGGTGGCATGTGCCTATAACCCTAGCTCTTGGGAGGCTGTAAACAGGAGTTCAATCTAGTAGTGAGACCCTGAACACCTTGTAGACCCTTCCTAAAATAAAAATAAAAAAAAATGACAGAGTTATGCTGTGAGACATTATCTTTTATTTTATTTTTCCAGGTTTTTTTTGTTTTTGTTTTTGTGGAACCAGGGTTTGAGCTCAGACCCTTGTGCTTGCCAGGGAAGCACTTATTCCACTGAGCCATCTCCCCGGCCCCTGCAGTTTGGTTTTAAATCTGATACCTATGGGCTTTATACAAATATACATTTGTGTACAGAAATGCACCTTCTTAATGGCGGCAAGTTAGAAAGTCCTTGAAGAGGAAGAAGTTTGATATAGTCTGCCTGTAAAAATAGGCTTAAACTACCTTTATTGATTTAAAATGATTACTTCAACAAGATATGCTGTTAATACAATAATTTAATGACTTTCTCATGTAATAAAAGTTTTTAATTATCTTCTAAACTTAAAATTTCTATACTAACTTTTTAAATTGCTGGGTTAAGGCTTTCTGTGCAATTACCAGGCACAGACATGCAAAAAGATCCTGAGAATTTACCAGAATGCCAGCTGCTAATCAGCTGCAGTGCGCACATTTTCTATTTTACATAATAAGGACAGAAGCTGAAATACCAAGAAATGCTTTCTTATAAAAGATGATAGCTAAAAATGGGGTGGGAAAAGAAAGCTTGGATAGATGCCACTGAGAGAGAGTCTGGGAGAGAAAGGATGAAGGTAAGGCCTTGGCCATGGGCCTGGCCAAGCCACAGAGCTGGTTTTCATTTGTCTGTGAGTGAGGAAAGAGGAAGCCATCAATGGGCTGCCAAAACCCGTGCTCTTTTCATCTGACCTGTGGCCATCATTGACACTATCCATGAGGGACTGCTCAGAAACCAGTTCATCCCAGCAGGATGCAATGGCCATCAGTGAGGCTGTGAGCTTCAGTCCCATTGGGGGTGTGGGGGTTGGGGCCCACAGGGCAAGCCTGGGGGATCGAACTCCCGGCCCCTGCCCCTCTTGCAGGTGCTTTTTAAAAATCTTCTGAGCTATTCGGCTGGCCCTTCTAAGTATTTTAAAAAGTTACTTGACAGGATTTCTGGTGTGTTTAAAGCAGTTTTGTGTAGGTACTAATACAGCTTCTTCATGGACTTTGGTTTTCCAAAGATAGAAGTCCAACCCCAGCAGCTGATGTACTCAGTAGCTGGAGGATCAGATTCATGCCTTTCTACATACAGAAACTTCTTACCAGCAGCTTGGAGTTTGGGGAATGTAGCCCCTCTCCACAAAAATAAAAGGATGTAAGAGCCAGTGGCTGGCAGAGATCTCTTTATCAGAAGTAGGAAGATGGAAATCAGCTTGGAGAACATAGTTTTGGTCTTTCAGGTTAGTGCCTGAAAGTGCCCAGAAAATCTACATATTTCTCTTAATCACTGAGAGTATTTCTAAGTATTTAATTAATTAATTAATTAATCTTTTGTATGTTAGGGAAGGGTCTATAGGGTGTTCAGGGTCTCACTACTAGATCAGACTTGTAATGATCTGCCAGTTTACAGCCTCCCAAGAGCTGGGATTACAGGTGCGTGCCATATGCTTAGTCTCAATTGCTGTCTCAGGGTGCCCAGAGGGTGTGCGGGTGTGGGGGTTGGGGCCGACAGGGCAAGCCTGGGGGATCGAACTCCTGGCCCCTGCCCCTCTTGCAGGTGCTTTTTAAAAATCTTCTGAGCTATTCGGCTGGCCCTTCTAAGTATTTTAAAAAGTTACTTGACAGGATTTATTAATATCTACCTCCCTTATTTAAAACATTTTGGGGCCAGGTGAGTTTTGAAATTCAACAATTTTGGTTACTGAAAAGATAACATGACACATATACATTAATGTTTGCATGTAGGACAGCTCCAGTAATCAAATTAATAATTCTGAAGCAAAATATATACAAATTAACACCGAGTCAAATCCATATGGACTCTGGGGCGCGCTGAGACAGTGATTGAAACTGGGTGTGGTGGCGCGCCTGTAATCCCAGCACTTGGGAGGCTGTAAACAGGAGCCTTGTAAGTCACTACAGGTCCGATCTAGTAGTGAGGCCCTGAACCCCCTGTAGACCCTTCCCTAAAATACAGAAAAAGAAAAAAGAAAAACAAATCCATATGGACTGTAAATAGCCTTACATCTTTCAGTGTAAACTTTAACACCATATCAGGCCAAATGAGTCATGGAGTGGCTAATAGACCTTTTTGATTTTGGAATTATTTATGTGTCTGGTCACTGGAGGTTCCTTTTCTCAACTTTAAGGAAGATCTTGTAATGTACTTTGTATTAATAAAACTTCTCAGCATAAACATACTACTCTTTGAATGTTATATGAATTAATGTTTATGTGTTGTTTGAAGGCCCTTTCACAGGCCTGGCACTGTACGAATATATTTTCTAGCTTCCATCATACGCTTCTCATGTGGTTGGATAGTCACTGTGCAGGAGGCAGAGTGGGACATGAGGAGGCAGTCAAGCCCAAGGCAGTTAGGTGACATTCTCAGGTTATTGCAGCATAGCCTGGGCCAGAAATCAAGCTTCTGGCTCTTAGTCTGGTGCTTTCTAGTGTGCCACACTGCCCAGAGTCCAAGCATATCCTTCAAGGTGTTTTTCAATAAATAAAGTAGGATGAAAAATAAGTTTGTGATTTTTTTTTTCAGTTTGTGATTTTTGTACTCATTTTTCAGTCTTATAAAGACTAAGGTGATCATAGCTGCATGTGCTATAGAAGATATTCCAAGAAAAAGGAAAGGTTTGTATTTGTTGATGCAGGAATAAGATTCACTTTTGGGAAAAATGGATGAGATTAGAAAGTATGCTCAACTTTTATTAAAAATGGGTGTACAGGTTTAGTTGCCTGGAACAGAATTATATCTTTTATTCCATTCTATACTCTTCCTCTTCTTTCCTGACTCATAAAGAATAGTCCAGCTAACTGGTGTTCTCAGAGAGTTTCTAACATTGGTGAGAAGGATCACCACAGGTCCCAAGTGGCCCAATACTAAGAGTTCCAGAAGTTTATGTGAAACTCCCTATTTGAGGCTCCTCCTTGGCCATCCCCAGTCTCACCAGGATCACAAGGCCTCCCCCACACTTCCAGATGTAACCCAAGCCATTTCTCCTGGGAACCTCGCTCCAGTCCACCAGCCACATTCTAACTCCTGTATCCCCTGGGCATCCTGTCCTCTAAACATCCATCATCCTAGAGCTGCTAGCCACAAAGGTCTTACCACTTCGTGTTGAAAACAGCAAGCTCAAGATGCATGCCTGCTGGAGGGGGTAGTGGCCTAGGACTGACCTAGCGGGCAGGTTGGGACCTGAGGCCCCACTGGGTTTAACAGTTCTTACATGGGTATTAAAGATCTTGTAGTCGAGAGTCACTGGCTTTGCCCAGCATGTTCTTCTGACTTAGGTCTTCCCAGGCCCACCTCACTGGTCCACAGAGGATGAGATTATCCAGGTGTCCTGATTCTAAAGTTCTGGTCCTCAGCCCAGTTGAGTGACATAATCATGGCAACATTCTCTTCTAACTCTCACTGAATTCGTCTTGTCTCTGGGTCCAATGGGGATTGGAACTAGGACACCTGCCAAATCAGAATACCAAAATCTGATTTGAGGATGCTCCAGTCCTTTATATAAAATGGCACAGCGCTGGGCATGGTGGTGCACACCTGTAATCTCAACAATTAGGAGGCAGAGGCAGGAGGATTGTTGGGAGTTTGAGACCAGCCTGGGCTACAAAGTGAAATTAAGCCCAGCTTAAACTGCATAGCAAGAACCTGTCTCAAAAAAACAAAAAACAAACAAAAAAAAAGTTAAACAAATTTTTTTGAAAAGGATAAAATGACACAGCATTTGCATATAATCTACACACATCTTCATATGTATTTTCAGTGTAGACATAAGCCAATGGGCTACAGGACTGCAGATGAGAGGGCTATGTGTACTCAATGACCTGATGGCCTTTGTTTACATCTAGGATGCTTCTGTTCAAGGTTGGATTTCAAGTCTCCTGAGCTCAGGGAACAGGCTGTGCCTTTTTCTGCCCCAGCCCACCACGGGCCTAATATCTGCCCCACTGTGACTGGCTGTTCCCTTTGTTCCAGTGCCAGGACTACCAGGGTGGCTGGCTCATGGGCAACCTGTGTGAGGACCTGTGTGTGGCAGGGGAGCTGCTGTACCAGCGCTGTTTGTACTATGAGCATGGCAAGAAGGTTCTGCAGGCCCAGTGGCATGGCCGGCCCATCATTCTCAAGTCCAAGAGGGAGGCTTTCTCCAGTTTCCCAGCCCTTGGCCTGTTGGAGGTGGAGACAGGAGAGGGAGCTCAAGGTGTGCCTGAAGCAGAGCTCCTCCTGATTGTGGCTGCAGAGGTCAAGAATGCCTTAGGCCTGGAGCTGCCCAACAGCAGTATGGGACCCTTGTGGCCAGGCCATCGGGGCCCTGGCTGGAGGCGGCAGCTGGCCAGTGCATGGTCCCTGCTGCAGCAAGAAGAGTACGTGTACTTCAGCCTGCTGCAGGACCTCAGCCGCCACGTCCTGCCTGTGCTGGGCTCTTGTGGCCATTTCTATGCAGTGGAGTACTTGGCAGCTGGCAGCCCCCACCACAGTGCACTCTTTCCCCTGGAAGAGGCTGCCCCTTGGGGTGACCTGGCCCAGGCCAAGGCTATCAGCCACATTGCTCTCAGCTTCTTGGACATGGTGAGGCATTTTGAAAATGACTTCTCCCACCGCCTCCACCTCTGTGACATCAAGCCTGAAAACTTTGCCATAAGGAGTGACTTTACGGTAAGTGATGCGGGTGGATGAATTTATAGCACGCAGAATGGTGCTTGTGGTCCATGTAGGGGAAATAAGATCCCCCGTAAGCAGAGTGGCCTGTTGTTGCAGATGACTCCATCTTTCAGACCACTTCCTTGCCAGTGTTGACAAGAAGATTTAAATGCAGGTTGCCTACAAGTGGGAGTTAGACGAAAGATTCCACAGCAGAAGGCAGAGGCGAGGCTTTTCATTCTTATTTCTGGGGGTGGCTTTGGTGCCTACAGGCAGCTCTGTAGCTTCTTAGAACTAAAGTACCAGCTGGCTGTCCTGAGGGGCTTTACAGCTTGCAGAAGGCAGGTGACCATTAACTGCAACAGTGAGGGCCACAGGGCTGTGTGTTCAAACCACCTGTGTGCTGGAAGATATGCAACATTCTCAGTATTTTCTTCTGGAGAGGTTTTGGCTCATTTCTAGTCTGTGTATAAGGCATGCAGAGGAGCGCACGCAGGCCTAGTGCTTTCTGCCAGTTAAGAGCTGCCTAAGGGACATATCTGTTGCTGCACAGCCTGAAGAGGGCAGGTGGATCTTTATCTCTCACTTTCTCCACCAAGATAGAGAAAAACTGTGAGGACTTCAGTATTTTATCGTAAGGTAACCTCTTCCCTAGGCCGCAACCAACAAGTCAGATTAATGCTGTCTCCCCTAACTCTCGCAGTGGCCTCAGTGCTCGCCGGGTCAGGTGCCAGGTCACCCAGAAGAAAGTAGTGACAAGTTGCCTGTAGTTTGGTGGGCATGAGGTAGGTGCTGGGGAAGGGCTGTTCTCTTATTTCCCTGTTTTGCCTTGAGTTTGTTTTCAAGCTGCAAGTGCTGGCAGGTGAGTGACCAGGGGAGGCTGGTCACCCTGGGCACTGGATTGTGGTGGGGAAATCATCTCCATCCTGGTGAGGACATAAAGGGACAAGAAAATACCATTGCTTCTGACTTAAAGCAGAGGGGAGGGGGCTGCTCCTTAGCTCAGTTCTTTATTGAAACTGTCCTACCAATTTGGTTTGAAACTGTCTCATTGCTATTTGTTTCTCAATAAAATTATGGAAAACAAAAACAAAAACAAAGCAGTCAGGCTCAGGTTGCTGTGGTTCGATCCCCACAACTCAAGCCAGCCAAGCCTGCCCTGAAGGCATTCAGAGAAAAAAAAAAAATCCTTCTGACTTAAAGCAGCTTGAAATCTAGAATTTGTTACCAATGTAAACTCCTTGTCTAATCAAGTCTTTGTGTCTACTGATGTGTCCTAATTTACTGTCTCTGGCTTCCCTAGAGCAGCTGAGGAGCAGGGGTGACTTAAATGTGGAAAGGACCAAGCTGGAAGGTTCTGGCAGGTTCCAGAGGGTCTGAAGTGTTCCACGAGGGTCTGCACCCTGGCAGGGAGCTTTAAAAGAGCTCAACTTTGCCTGCAATGCCAGGGCTCCATGCTGCCTCTCAGGTGAAGGCTGAAGTTGTAAGGCTGCATTCCCACTGCTTGCCCATGTCTTTTCTTAGAGCTGAAGTGTGATTGCCATCTCAGCCAATGTTTTCATGCTTAGCGATCGGAAAGAGCACACAGTAGAAAGAAGGGCTGTTGTTCTCCACCTCAAGAAGTCCTGGGGTATAACCACTGGGGCTGTGATATAGCCACCCTGAGTCCTGAGAGAATGGCCCCCTGAAGTGTGGAGTGCCACACACAGCTCCCTGGCCTTCGGCAGTTATGGGATAGTTCTCATGGTATAATCCTTTGTTTGTTCGTCCAAGAAGTACTACTCCATGTTAGTGAGTGGCATCTGGCCATGAGAGTTAAGGGGTTTGAAAGGATACCTGCATTGGGAAGTTGGTGGGCTGGTAGGTCTTCTGGGTGGAGTGAACAGCAAATGTTCTTGTGTGCACATCTGCTAATAATCCCTTTACTGCTTGGTGCAGCCACATAAGCTGTGCCTCCAACATCTTGAGCACAGCAGACATAAAATACTTGTCTGGTGAAATTCTCTGTGCTCCTTGTTCTTACCATCAAACTATGCTTTGTGGGCTGGTGCTGGGCCCTTCTGAGCTGTTACCTCTGCTTTACTGCTGGTATAGGTGGGGATGGGGGCAGAGGAAGGAGGATCCCTTTTACCAACCTGCTTCATCTCAACCCTCTTGAAGATACTGATATACGAGGTAATTATTTTACCTAAGATTTTATAATTTTTAAGTGAAAACCAAAAGTATATGCTTCATCAAAGAACTTGTTAGAAGTGAAGATTTTCAGACTCTCCTCTGACCTCCTAAATCAGAAACTCCAGGGAGGGGGAATTCTCACATGTGCTCAAGTCTGTGACTCAGGCACAATGAGGGACCCAGAAGGTGGGTCCTGCCTTTGGGGTTGGCTGCCCTGTTGCCCCTGGATGCACATGTGTGTGGGGCAGGGAGCTTCCAGATGAGGTGCAGGGTTGGAGGCATCCAAGGGTCTCACTCACCTGCAGGCTGTGGACCCTGCAGATCTTAAGAACAGACCCAGTGGCTACAAACAAATGGGTAGGAAGCACCAGGATGTTGTGACTCCAGTGATGGCAATAGGTGATCCTTGTTTAGCAGATGAGGTTTTCCTACTCAACAGAATTGATGGGCAAATGGGATATGAAACAGCTCCATTTGGTGGAGTATGAGCTAATTCTCACTGCTCACTGATCTTTCTCTTCTGATGCCTGGGGAAGTTTGAATATGATGCAATATAGGTAATTTCATGGAGGAAGAATTTTATGATTGCCTTAATGTTAAGAAACAGTATGCAAGTTCTTCCTGTTTGTTTGTTACTATATTTTAGGTGTCTAGGGTTGTGCTTACAAGAGCTGTATTTCATTCTAGGCTGCACAATACATTTTAAAAGATAAATCTGGCTCTCCCTGAGAGATAAGGAAGAAACCATTGGAAATGGGAGAGGAGCAAGAGCTAGAACTCTACCTAGGAGCCTGGAGACATTGCTAGAAACTATGGAAAAAGGAGATAGGTCTTGGAGGAGCCCCAGTAATAAATCATACATTCTTTAGCATAGACTGCATTCATTTTTAGTGCATTCATCAGGCTAATGAGCTTAGCCATTTATTTTGGCTAAAGAAAGAGATAGAGAATATTGACTAAAATGATAAATTCTGCTCTCCATGCCTGAGTTACTTATATTAGGCAAAGTCCCTTAAGTAGGGAAAGTTCTCAGTTCCTTATTTTCATTATTCTGTACATATATTATATATTATATTATTGAAATAAATTATGTTTCCTCCTGTTCTGCTCTACTGAATAACCCTCAAGAAATTATATTGCCTCCCAACATCAATCTTAAGTGAAAAACAAAAACAAAAACCAGGGAATTTGTCTCCCATCCCTGTGTAGGATTAAGGAAGAAATGAGCACCAGCAAATGAGCTGTTTTTCAGGCACCACTGAAGGGGAAAGAGAAGGCTGATGTTTTGACGCTGACCTGTGAAGGCTTGTGAAATGACACCAACTCCATCAGATCCATCACATTTCCTAATAGCTTCTTAATACCTCGAAGCTATAAGCTGCTCAACTTGGGCAGACTCCAGGTTTTCTCAAATTTGAAGTCATCTCTTTTTTGTGTGTGTATCCAGGTGCTGGAAGGAAATCTACATAATTTATTCTTTTTCTATTTTTGAAGCCTACCTGGTTTGAAGCCAGAAAGGTAAAGCTGAACCTCCAGGGGTCATCAAATTTTCCTGCTGACAATGAAACTGAGCAGCTGATACTGTTGGGTCAGGGTCCATACAGATCTGCCCTAATGTGAACACCTTGCCATTTCTCCAACATGTAATCTGACTGGTCACTTGGAAACCAGGTGACTCTGCTAGCAGGTGATAAAACCTAGATGTTGCCCGCTTAATTTCTGCCATCTCCTCCACAAAACTACCATTCAAAAATAACTTCCTTGGGGCTGGGGAGATGGCTCAGTGGAATAAGCGCTTCCCTAGCAAGCGCAAGGGTCTGAGTTCAATCCCCAGTTCCGAAAAAAAACCCTTCCTTTTGCTTTTTTTTTTTTTTTTCTTCTTTGTGGTACTGGGGATTGCACTCAGGACACTGCGCTTGCCAGGCAAGTGCTTATCCTACTGAGCTATCTCCCCAGCCCCCTTTTTGTTGTTTATAATTATGTGTGGTAAATTATTTGTATCTCACAACTTTTTTTATTCTGACCTTGAGGATGTGAAGAATGTGAAAATTGTCAGAATCAAAGTGGAGTCATTTGTGTAAAGCCTAAATGAAAAGAACGGGGGCCTGCCCCTTAACTCAGTTCTTTAAGTGGCTGCTTCAACAAAGCAGTCAGGCTCAGGTTGCTGTGGTTCGATCCCCACAACTCAAGCAAGCCAAACCTGCCCTGAAGGCATTCAGAGAAAAAAAAATCCTTATTTCTAACGAAAAGAAAAGCATGCTTATGAAGGAAAGGCTGCTATGTGTGACTCCCTGACTATTACTATGATGAAAGACCATTAAAACCTAACCTTGGACCCAGGCCGCGGGATTCTGAACAGACCCAGAGTGCAGGCCCGGCGAG